ATATCAACAAGTCACTATAGTCAAACATGAAGAAAAATCTGTTTACTTCTCTCAATAAACGAAATGGAAATGACAAAATACACGTTTCTTCCTTCTCATTCGTCTCAAACGTTTAATCGTTTCAAAGATGAAGGAAATATTATAACGTCTCGCCTGTTGGATATATCCTATCTATCTTCCGTACTATTTCAATTTTACTTGCTTTTTTTTTCAAGCGCATTTCATATTACATTAGATGTACGGTAGTACGTCGTTTCCTCCTGGTCCTTATTGTTCTTGTTTTTAACAGATCTATTAATGTCAAAGTTTCTAAAGCTTGATTTTTTTTCAAAAGTAATTCTGTTCTAAAGTAGTTAAATCGGACAAAATCTTTAAGTAGATCCTATGGATAATCAGGATTTTCTCCAAGAAAACGAAGCTGATCTTTGAGATGTTCTCCTGTTAAAATATCCGTTCGAACATTTTCTCATAAAAGGAATAAAAATATTTTGGGTTATAGTTAAACGAGTCTGAAATATGAAAAAGTATCATACATAGGTAATTTATTGTTTTCGATGTGAATTAATTTTCCCAGATCTAATGTTAATGTAATTGGTTTAATTAAATGTGATGGTGAATCTTCTTGTAAACGTAAATCAATCCAATTTTCATCTTAAAATATTCTTTAAAAAAAATCTTTTCAATGAAAAAAAAAAATTTATACTTTGTGTAAGATAAAGTAATTGAACATTTTCTAATTGAATTTTTAAAGGAACATAAATTAAATCATCTTGATCATTCTGAAAAAAAATAATAAATATATATTTTATTTTATTTATAAAAAAAAGACAAAATACTTTAGCATCATAAAAAACATTTTTTTCAAGATTTTGAACATTTTTTTCACCACCTTTAAACATAAAACGACCTAAATCCAAACAAATAACTGATGAAGAACTAAACATATAATAAAATAATAATTTGTGTAGTAGAAATAAATAAATAAAAATCTTACGATTGATAAAATCCATGTTCTGGTACAATGAAATAAATCGATTGTAAATCAATATCAATATCTAAATCTGTTATTGTTTTAAGATTTTCACTAACTAAAAATTGTGTACGATGTTTTATATCTATATAAATTGAATAAGCTGCTTCTTTTATTCTATTTTACAAACAAAAACAATATTTTTAATTAAAAATAAATTAAATTTACCCTTCTAAATCATGATGTCTATCCGGTAAAAAACATTCAATTAATTTATTAATTGTCATCTAAAAATAAAAATTATTCAAAAAATAAAATCTCTAAAGTTCGTACTGCATGATAATTAATTTGTAATGGTTGAGATTTAGCTTGAATACGATAATCAGATTTAGTATTTAATGGATTTGTTTCAAATTCAATATGAAGAAGTTTATTTGTTTGATTAAATGATTGAATTAAAAGAGGACGAGATAAGTTCAATTCATTTTCATTATTCAATTCTGAATCAATTCCAGACATTTCTAATGAATTTAAATCAATAACTAATCTTTAAAAAACAAAAAAAAAAGATTTGATTTTTATTTTGATATTAAATTAAAAATTTATCATACTGAATATCATCTCGCGCTGGACGACGTTGAAATTCTAATTGACCATTTGATATTGAAAGACGAGAGATGACTTTCATACTAAAATTTAATAAATCTTTTTCATTGAAATTAAATGTCTGTCGCAGTGACGAAAATGATAAGATCACTATAATGATATTATCAATATCCTTCAAGATTACTTATTCATCTCTTAATAATCCTAAAGACTACAATAATCAAGATGTCGATGTATTATCCCGCCGTAATGAACAAGGAAATAAAGTGTTCATTACAGCGGTGATACAGACATAGACATCTCTAGTAGAAATAATGATGCCCTTTGATAGTCCCGCTGATAATCTGTTCGACATTGAATGTAGGGAATATGTGTTCATAGGTTAAGCAGAAGAAAAAAGTCTAAATTCAACGCATTAGAGTTGACAAAAAACTTCTATATGGTATAGGTTTTATCTCAAACTCAACTATCTATTGAGTATTACAATAACATTTCTTCGATAAACTAAATGAGCTTCTATAAAACAAAATAATAACGAAGTCTTTTTTCATATATTTCAATTCGAGATGTACGAAAGCGATTTTTTTTTTGTTGTTGTTGTAATCCCTTCACAGATCTCCATCGTAGCAGAAAATCTGTTACTGCAACGGAATTTCGAGAAATGTTTCTCGAAGATACTGGACTAGTATTCTTCTTACTAACCCATTAGATTCATCAAATCTCATGATATTATATTCGTGAACACTAAAATTCGGGAAGGTAACGATTCGTAACGGTTGGTTACGAAAGCCCAGTAAGAAGCAGGGCTTTCGTAACAATGTAAAATGCATAAATCATAAAAAGCAGGGCTTTCGTATCGATTTTTGACAGGGATTTCGTATCGTTTTAGACAGAGCTTTCGTATCATTTCTTAAAGAGCTTTCCTATCAAGTTTACAGGGCCTTCGTAACAATTTTGACAGGGTCTTCGTATCGGTCTTACAGGATCTTCGTACCGTTCTTACAGGGCTATCGTAACGTAAAAGGATTTGGTATGATCTTTCGTCAGATGTTGCTGACAGGATTTCATACTGAAATTAGTGATCTACCAAAATTATAACATAAATAGTTCAACAGTAGAAAGTGAGAACCAGAATATAAGTATAGACAAATTTTTATCTTCTTGTAAATCTCTTTCTTAGTAACAACAAAAAGTAACAAAAACCAGGCAATATATAAAGAGAGAAGAGTGAACGAGAACAATATCAAGATAATAGAATTAAGAATACACATAATTGATTTCCTAGATTTTAAGTCAGCAACTTTAACAAAAAAAAGGCGTACACAATTCTGGAAAAACATAGAGAACTAGAAATAACAACGACATCTATGAATGTATACAAATAATTCATTCACAGTATAGTACCATGTATTTGGACCATTTAAGTATATAAAACTTGTTACGAATGGATCCCACTTAATGACTTAAGCGATATTTGTAAGCATGGGTATTCGTAACGAATGCCCTGTTCTTTTTAGTACCAGTCTTTCATTTTAGTTATGAATGCAATAAGAACTTGATTACGAAAGCCCTGTATAAGTTTGATACGAAAGCCCTGTCAAAATTTGATACGAAAGCCTTGTCAGAATTTGTTACGAAAGCCCTGTCAAAATTCGTTACGAAAGCCCTGTAGTAAAAACGATGACAGGGCTTTCGTATTACGAAAGCCCTGTAAATTTCTCGTTACGAATCGTTACACCCCCTAAAATTCTCTACAAAATCATACAGTGCTGTAATGTATTCTCAAAGAAAGCTGCCGCAACGCTATGGACATCTCTCATTCCCATTAGATTTGATTTTCAGTGATCCTATTGATAGCCTCAGTAATATTGATTCTAGTTTGAAGCGCTAGAAAATCAAAAATAAGATCTGATGTCTTACTGTAAATCATTTTGATGAATTAAAGACCAAATATTTATTTCAATAAGACTTAATTTCAATGAAACATCAATATCAATATACTAAAATAAAAAATATTTATTTGTATAAATAAAAGACGACGTATTTCTAAACCTCTTCTGGATAATATAATTGTTGAGAAGGTTGATCATCTTTATAACCAATTGCTTGATATAATTTTGTTTTTTCTTCCATTGATAATGAATCATTAAATTTAAATTCTTAAATTAAAAAAAAAAATAAAGCTAAAATTTGTTTAATTAACACAACCTGTATTATCTTGATCTGAATTTGAACTCCACCAATTGACTAATTTATCCCACCAAGAAAGATCTTTTTCTTCAATTTTTTTCTTAGCATACTAAATTAAACATAAAAAATTTATTTTAAATGAAAATAATTGAATATTAACTTGAATTTGTGCAGTTCGACGAATATAAATTAAATTAAAAAGATCAATTTGTTTTTCTAATTCCTTTAAATACAAATAAAATAGAAAAAAATAAAATAAAATAGATCAAAATCAAACTTGAGCACGTTTTTCATTTTTATGATGATTTAGTTGTTGCAAATAAATTTCACGATATTCTTTATATCTATTCAGATTTTCTTTAATAACTTCCCATTTAAATG